TTAATATCATGGCTCCTTGTGCCATTTAATATGCCTTTACATGTATTCTGCCCGTACATATTAAATAGCCAGATAAAATGTTTTCTCATAATTTCTTACAACAAAATGTTGAATGAAATCTTTTTTTCCAAGATTTTTAAAAGTCTTTTGTTACTAACTGGGTTAATTGATTTATGCAGGAGCAGAAAGTTAGCTGGTGTAAATCAGGGTGACTTCACTTGCTTCTTGGTTGAGAAATGTGTCCTATATGTTTATGTAAGTAAGAAGGTTACTTGGGGAGAGCTCACTCTCCTCTTACACGAGTTGTTGCCCCAGAAAAGGAAGATTTTATCTGAAGAGTCCATCTCTGTCTCACAGCTGGTATTATAGATATAAGATTCTTTTCTTTGTTTCTCTAGTATATTGACCTACATCTCTAATGCTCATCAAAACATGGGAGCCAAACTTGACACAATTTGATGTAACTGCTACTCCATAAATGTCTTTCCGTTTATTTCTATTTTGAGTCCTAAATGTTTTTATAATGAGACATCACAGATGCTTACATTTTTGATATCTCAGATCCTAGACTGGGAACTGCCTTTGTTGTAATCGCCACTGCATTTCCTTCCCTGTAGCTGTGCCCTACACAGACAGCATTATATTCTTACCTGCATTTTTTTGTACTTATTTCCTTCCTGCTTTGTGCCAAGAAGTGCATTATTAGCCATTCACTCATATGCTTCTCAAGGTGCATGTGCTTTCTCAAGGCACAAATTTTGGTGGGGAAGCAGCTACATGCTAAGGCCCAAACACACAATGACTTGATTCTAAATAGCTTTTCTTTTTCTTATCTGCTTCTCTGACTCTGATGGTCTTAATGTTTCCCTTACAGGATGAACCAACTACTGGCATGGACCCTCAGTCCCGGCGCCTCCTGTGGGACTCTATTGTCAGCGTGCTCAGAGATGGGCGAGCTGTGGTTCTAACCTCACACAGGTAAAAAGAGTTAGAATTCAGAATCCCAGAGTAGCTGAAGTTCATCTGCTGGCTTTTATCTCAAATATCTGTTCTCTTTTTTGAAAGTATGGAAGAATGTGAAGCCCTCTGTACTCGTTTAGCCATCATGGTAAATGGTACCTTCAAATGTCTGGGCACAATTCAGCAGCTAAAATACAAGTAAGTAGAATATTTTAATGGTGGGTTTAAATGGGAAAACTCAGTGTATGTGACATGTACTGTTCTTAACACAGCAATCCAATCTGAAGAGCTGTTGTTTAAACAGACGCATTTCTGGATGCAGCTCTGTGGTATCCTAGACAATTTGAGCAGATCTCATTTCAACTCTGTTATGCTACACACCACATCTGCAGGGCAAATACAGGGCCTCCTACAAAGCTAGATTTTATGCATTATATTTCAGATACTGTTAACGTTTTCATAGTTGCAGAAAATTAATTTCCTTTCTGAATAATGAAACCATCTCTTCATCCAATTCCCAAATCCACATGTGCTCCCCAGGTTTGGAGATGGCTACATTGTCACTCTGAAAATCAAAGCTCCAAAGTCTGGGCTGCCTCCAGATCCTACTCCTGCTGAGCATTTCATACACATGAACTTCCCAGGGAGTTTACAGAGAGAGAAACATTACAACATGCTGCAGTATCAGATTTGCTCCTCCTCTCTGGCTAAGATTTTTCGGTTAATAATCTCCAATAAGGAAAACTTGCATATTGAAGAATATTCTGTCTCTCAAACAACTTTAGATCAGGTAAGTAAAAAATAAAGCACCCATGAGAAAGACTGTCTGGCAAGAATTAGGCAATACAATGGGGATGTATCCAAACAACTGAAGGACCAAACTGTTCAGAGTAGAGAATTATCTTGCACCACTTTCTCAGGCAAAATTCCCAGACCCCTCATCAAAGAGGGTGGATCAGATATGAAATCTTTAACTAATTCCTGTGTAAATAGGTGCCATTTGAAAGCTGGTAAGGCAGCGTTTCCCAGATGACAGAATTCACACAACCCATTCCTTCAGGAGCAACAGTCTGAGAAAGGTCAGCTCTTCAGGATGAAGCTTGCTGAGCTGGGAAATAACGTTTTATTTTAAATAAGAGATTTGGACTGTGTTGTGTCAGGGATACTGTGATATCTAGTTAAATGTTTATATGCATCTGCCATGCACTTTTATACAGGAGCAATTAGACACACAAAACCTGGAAAGTCCACTGGGACTGTTGGCAACACCGACTTGCTAGAGGGTATTAGTCCCATCTGCCTGCTTTCCTAAGTAGCTGAGGGTGCACATATGCAAAGCTGTCTTTGATGGGAATGCTACAGAGATATTCCCGGCTGCCTTACAGCTTCCTACTAGAATATTCTGTCTCCTCTTTCCCACCACAACCAAACTCACTTATGTTGTGCAAGCCACGGCAAACCTTGCTGAACCCATCTCTTGCTTAACAAAAAATAGAATTTTAGTTGCAAGTAAGTGCATCCAAAGGAAGGAAGTTGCAATTAAGTTTATCAACATAAAGAAGGAATTAATGATCCCTGCTGATACACAGTGTCCCAGTTCAGTTCATGTCTATGGATTCCCCTTTCTGTCTCTTCCCTGCAGAGAGGCCAAGAGGATGCAAATGTACAGACATTCCACTAATATATCTCAGTTGATGAGATGGTGATATTTTCTGCTTTCCTCACACAGGTTTTTGTGAACTTTGCTAAACAGCAGATGGAGGATGAGGAAATTCCTTTGCATCCCCGTGCAGCTGGAGCCAGCCGAGAAGCAAAGGTGTCCCCTGCTTTGCATCAGCAGGCAGTTGCATAGACTATTCCTGCAGTCACTAGCAGCTAGAGTGTGCGCAGTGTAAAGATATACCATACCAGAGCAGTACAAGGGTAAAACAAAAGTTCCCATGCTCAGTATTATACTGATTTTTTTGCACCTGAGCACTGTGCTTGCAACAGCAACAGCCCTAGCAACAGCCAACTTCTGCTGCTCTACCAAGAACACTACATGCTGAAAGTGTCAAAGGAAAGGCAGGTCCTTGCTATAGAAAAAAATCTTTCTCTAACATAAAGTTCATTATAAGATACAAGAAGAGAAGTCTCATTCCTCCTTGTTGACATGTAAAGAGCATTAAAGACAGTTTCTCTATCTTGTCCTTTCAGGCTGGTAGGTTTTTTTTGTTTAACTCTTACGTCAGCTGCTACCAGTCAGCAGACAGGTCCCAAGGCAGAGAGTATTGCCCAGCTTAGAAGTGGATTCCTGCCATCCTGAGTGCACAGGACTACCAAAGTCAGAATATCAGTGCTGGCTGATGTGTCTAGTGCTGGGAAGCTGCTTCACTGTCTCACCAGGCTGCCAGTGAAAACAGACAGTTGTCTCAGCAAGAATGGGAAGAATTAATTCAGATCTCAGACCCAGACAAGAAATTTGCTTTAAAAAAAAAAACTTAATGAAAATGATCTCATACTCATCTTCAAGTTTCTCAAATAGAAGCAGAATGTCAAAATGGAGATTAAAAGAAAAGAGAGCATGTCCAAATCTGCCAGTTTTGTTTTCTCATGGAGGCCTGGAAAGATATCTTTGTTACTAAACAAGATAAATTTTTTCTTCTTTCCTGTGACTGGACCCTTAAGTGGGTGTAGTGTGAATAGGGTATGTGCTTTCTCTGTGCTCAAAAGGAAAATTTCAACCTGCTTGTACTCCACACTGCACTCAGTGGGAAATCATTTGACATTTAGCTCTTTTTTTCTGGTTCACAGTTAAAATATAGTGGAAAATAACAATACTGAAAACACATTCGTAATCATGTATTGCTTCAGTTACCAGATCTAACCATTTCTAAGAAAACTTCTCTAAGATATGTCATACAGAAATAAAATCTGGGTCATGTATTTTCGCTTTGTTAGGTTTTTTCTTCAACTGATGTAGATTTTTTTAATATATATATATATAAAAGGACATTCTTGTTTTTTACTGTACAAAATATTATGAAACTCCAGCAACCAGCTGTAGTCTTCCTGTTTTGCCATAATTATTTCAACTGATTTCAAAATATAGTCTAGAATTTATTGCATATTTCACCCTTACAAATAGTTGCAAAAATCTTTCTATACACCCATTATAGATAAATAAATTAATCATGAAACAAAACAGTGTCTATGCATTCTTTTCGTATTCTAAAATAGCTTCTTTAAAATGTCATTCAAATAGATTGCAATAGTCTTTTTTACTAGATTTGCACAAAACCCAACTAAGTCCCACTGAACATCTTGAGGAAAAAAAAAAAACCAACAAAAAACAGGAAGTCCAAAATGTAGCTGATTTTTCTCCCTGGCTCTGAAAATAAGAAGGGAGCTAGCATTCTGAGGACTAGCAGTCACTTCATGTATTTACAAAGTGTATTAAAAATTATTCAGAGAATGCTGACATAAAATGCTAGGTAAAAGGTCCTTTAGTATCATAAGGACTTGATATATGAAAACAGGCCCAAAATCACAGATATAGCATAGATCAGATCTTCTGAACCTTATTTACTAGTATGCAATTTACTAAGGTAGAAGACTAAAAAAAAAACCAAACAAAAAAAACCCCAACAATGCAGGATGTTACATCCACAAATACTTCTTACTTCAGATTCTCTTGGCAAGTTAGGGGTTAGACCCAAATCAGGTATTTGAGATATTGCCTGTTTCTTTATTCCAGGAACAATTCATATTCTTTGGTAATGTTATTTGTTACAAAGCACCTGCCTCCAGGCAGCACACTCTCTTCTTCAAGTCAAAGATGACAGATCATGCAATCGTCTTCAGGCCAGCTGGCCACTCTGGCTGAGCTGAGCTCTCTAGTAGTTAGCTGGTATGTACTCGTTCCAATGTACTTATGTCTTGCAGAATGCCACTGCTAAATTTGGAGCTGCTTTTCAGCACTGACTTCTCAGTATCTCTGATCCATCAATCTAAATAGACTAGTACAGGAAAATCTAAGTCAATCAGGTTACAGTGAACTGTAGGGGCTTTTGACTACCAGCTGTGCAATGAAGCCTTATTTTTTGAAGGTGCTTCTGAGTTGGGAATTCTTGAATGTAAGGAAGTGTGGCTTTCAAGTGCAAACAATTTCCCTCAGCAGTGGAGATTCAACATGCACCCAAATCCTTTAAACTAATTCACTTATTTGGCAGAGGTTTATGAGCTTTTTCTTCTTGAAGTTCTGTGCAATATTCAAATTAATCCTTTTTTCTTACAACAAAAATGGAATAATTGGCATTCGAAGACTTGGATAATCCTTGAATTCTCGTAGATAGGTGCAGTGTTTATCCTTTGCCCAGATTGTCATCTGAATGAAGCAAAGCAAGGTGAACAGCCCCACTGGAAGGAAGGGAGAAAAAGATATGTTTCATTACCAGATTAAAACCAAACTCTTGTTGCTGCCATCACTTCAGGATGAAGTACCAAAACATTACTCACCTGGAACACACTGAGTCATGATAGTGAAACTGATCCAGGTCCCCACCTGTTTTGGCCAAGGAAATTTAAAATATTTCTGGTGACAGCATTTGCATTTATGTCTCTATTGATCAAAAACAACCTTGTCCTAGTATAGGTAAATAAAAAAGCCAAGGTCAGCCAGATCAATTTCTAGTGTTAATAACCTTTAGCCAAAAAGGTGAACATGCCTTATCACAGACAAAACCTTCATGTTTTCTTCCATAGCTATTATCATGACAAAATTTTAAGTATTACAGCATAGTGTCCTTTCTGTTTCTCTGCCTAATTTGTATTTGTCACATCTCCATTAATGCTAGGAATGGTAACTTTCTATAGTCTGAGGCCAAATGCTGTTCTCATTAATGTCTGTTAATCTCTACTGAAGTTAAAACCTGATGCTGTCTTTCTGTGCAAGAGTGAATTTTACACTGAGTTGCACTGGTTTTAACTGCTTTTGAACTGAGTTAGGAGTTTGGCTCCTGATTAAGGAATATGAAGCCATAAACTGAGTCAAGCTTCTAAAAAAGCAGTCATGACCAGCACAAATGACTGTATAACTTAAGAAAATGGGGAAGACAGCTTGGGCCTATTTTCTGTTTTCTCTAGCACGGTATCTTCTATTTGTCTATTTCCCTGTTTTCTCCACCACAATATCTTCTGTTCGTTTGCCCACTATCTTCCTGCATACTGTGATATTCGTGGGCTCTCTTATGTTATAAATCCACCAGATGCCCCCATGCCCTCATTGCAACACACATTCCGTGGCAATTTCCCTGTTCCTGTCTGCAAAATATGCACTGCTTTAAAGTGTATCTGTCTGATCTAGCAGACACACTGAAGCATAGGCCCAGGGTCTGAGCTGTCAGTTAAAGGTTAGCCCTGTAAGTGCTGCCTCAAGGGAGGAGAGGAAGAACGGACAAGTTCCTGCCTGCAATCTGATTTAATGGGGCCTAGGGGAGGAGGGGAAATTTATTGAGCTGAACTGTTTCAGAGGTTTCTTCCATGTTTTAACATTCCAAAAGAAATTAAAATATATTCAGCAAAACTAAAATCTTAACATCTTGTTTGAAAATACATACCTCATATGTATAGTTAGGGCAAGATACAAAGAGAAACAGCCATGTGAAAGGATTCTTTGTTGGATATGGGATCTTACGGGTTTTGGATCCTATAGATTAGAAAACAAATCACAAAATATTCACACTCCTAAATTTATTGTTTCCTATAAAGACAACCCAAACCTGCCTACTCCTGTGTCTCATCACTGTCAGAGGGACAAGCAGGATGTGGGAAAACAGGATGTCCTCTGGACCCACAAGGAGTAGGATAACTGTGAGGAAATGTTCTGGGCATTAGAAAGTCATCTACATATGCCTTTGATCACAGCCACTCCTGTAACAGGTACCTCAAGTTTTAGATTTAGAAGTTAAGGGTTTTCTCAGATTGTCACAGAATGGGAATTTGTCAGTCATAGTTGGTAACTGTAAGAAGTTTGGCTTGTGCCCAAGGAACCCTGGCCTGCACAGAGATCTTGTGCCCCCTGTAGAAGCCAGTGAAATTACTTTCCCTTGCTAGTGTAAGCTCTGCTTTGTTGAGCACTGTTGCCTTTTGCACTACCATTGTAACTAATATAACTGCTCCCCCCAACACAATCTGGCCCTAACCAATAAAAATTACAGTAACATAAGAAGTGCTATTTAACAATCTGGTGTTGGATTCCTTGCACTGTCTGATCTCCCCTAGAATCCAATCTTTACAGTGCTGACCAACCTGCACACCCACAGCAGTCATCTGGTGGGTATCAACACCCTACGGGATCAGGTCTTTCATAAGGTAGAGTAACTGTAGAAATACTGAATAGCTGCACAATAGCAAAAAATGATAGTGCAATTTTTACCATTTCTCCGGAGGTCACTGAGTGCAACATGAATGGAAAAATTTCCAGCTTCACACAGCTGCAAGAAAAAGCATGACAGAGTTAAAAATGTGCTTCCCTTCTATTTACTTTTCTTCCTTTTGTTATTTCCTCGGCTACTTTAAAAAAAAAAAATCAAATCTATTATAAAGAAGATTTAAAAAATGGGAGTTAATGCACCATAATAAATATACTTAACCAAGATTGCTCTCTGACAGGAGAATGGAATGTCTTTGTTCAAACACGAGTCCATATTATACTCTGTTATATACTTATGATATTTGCCAGCAAATGTGGACTCGGCATCCAAAAGATCAAATTTACTACTTATACAATCCCCATGAGATCTAAAGGCCATAAACCAAAGAGGATAAAAGTAAATCCAGGAGACAGATACTTGCTTTATCTTTTGGTTATTTTTATGTCTTCAAAAACACCCAAAAAAATTGATCTGGATCATTTTGGTTTCTCAAAAGTTATTAAAATCCCAAGGAAGATATGGGTTGGACTCTAAGTAAGTTTTCTTCTCTAGAGTATAATTGATATGAATTATGAAATATAATTGACCCAGCTTCCTCCACTGGTTTTAAATAATACTTCCCCAATCAATTATGTAGAAAGTGTATTGAAATGACCCATTTATATGATTATTGACAGTCTCCAGTGTCTACAAAGCTTATCTATTAAAGCAAATGACTGGTGGTCAGAGCTTCTGAGTTTTATTCCCAGCTCTGTGCTTTCAGTTATGTAGTCTCTCTATAAAATGGGAATAGATTATTAACTCAGGATTTTCATACTGGGAAGCTACTTTGAGATGCTGCAGTCACTGACAACTAGTTTCTCAAAGCAAGTGAACAGCTGATGTTCTAAACAAGTTATGCATACATAGGAAAAATGGGTGCATCTTATTGACTACACTAATCTTGCTTCTGCATGTATGAAATGTTCATAGGAACTGTGAATGAACAGACAGTAACTCAAGAATTTTGCTTCCTAAGGAAAGCTGTAACAAATGTCTGAAGCCCAGCAAAATGAACCTCTCTCCCTGGAAATTATCAGCAACATACTTTCTTAGTTGGCCAGTTCTCCGAGTTTTATAACCTGTTGTGATTCTTAACACTCAATAAACAGTTCACAAAACAAACTCACTGGCTTTTAAACATAGCGTCACAAACCGGTTGTTCCAGGATTCTTTTAAAGATTATGAGAGATCATCCCAGCAGATAAATATCCCAGTCTTGGAATACGTACTGAATGAAAATCTTCCCTTGTGTACAAGATCACATTAAAAACTCATAGATTTATATGTTCTGTGTACAAGTGGCCAACATTAGTAGTATGTCCCAAGTGTTCAAGTATCTGCTTATTCTATTCACTTCTCCACTTATACAACATAAGAAATAAAGCAACGTGTTTTAGCATTTTATAAAAAGAGCAACAGACCTACCAGAAACATGATCACAGCAAAATTTATCTGTTTTTTCCCATAAGCTATAAAAAAAAGTTTACATGTGATTAGTACTAATATACAAACACATAAGTACTGAAATCAGGGCTGTTTTGCTACTTACAAGGAGGAGTGTAAAGAGGATGATTGATGTAATAAGCAAGCCAAGCTGCAAATCCCCAGTAATACAAGCAGTTCTGAAAAACAGGGAATTTTTCTTTGTTTTAGTACGGTCCTTTAGGCCAGTATTCACTGCAAGGACCGCTGATAACAATCACTTGGGCTGATCCTTCAAGTTGCTGATAATACAAAAAATGACAATACTAAGTGTGGTAAGGTGGGAACAGAAAACAGGAAATAACAGGAAGGAAGTAGTGCTCATAGAGTAAGATTTCCTCTCAAATATCTCGGAGCTGTTAAGTTTATAAACAGTTTGATAAAGTGTGATCATACTATTGAAAACAAATTGATTTTGTCTGGCAAGCCATTTGGCCAAAGATGAAGTGCCATACAGACTGTATGTTAAAGAGAGACTTGTTTTGCTAACCCCTGAGACTTTTTAAAACCAGATGTAGGTACTGTGCTCTCTTCCCTGCTTATTACTTTGTATTGCCCAGTCTCTCGCCTTTCTTCTTCTCCTTCACCCCACCAGTTTTCTTTCTTTCCATGCTTTACCTTTTCTTACCTAAAGTCATCGTTGCCTGATGCTTTCCTCTGTCCTTTCACTGCAATATCTTTAGTTTCGTCCCTTCTGCTGCAGTCCTTGGCTTTCTGTGATCCAGCTTCCATTCTCTAAACTCTGATAACATAGCTGTCGCTAATGGTTGTACTGACTCATTCCTGACCAATCTCAGAGCTTGTTCAAAGGCTTCATCCATGAAAAAAACTACTTACAAAGACAATATCTACATCTTTGTTTGGTTTTCCTGGCCCTGCCTCTTGTGTTCTTTCTTCTGGCACTCATTGTTGCTTCAGTATCTTGGTGACAGGTTATCTTCTCCCTCATTATATATCTGTAGGTAGGAAGGAGGCCTTTTCTTGGCACATTACTCTTCCTCCTCTATGCTCTCACCTCTAGGTGCTATTCACTTGCAGACAGACTTTAGCCCTTGTCAACAACTCATAAATTTGCCTCTCATCAGTTGAGATTTCTTCCTTTATGAGACCTAGTGCCTCAGTTTTTAATGTTTTGGGGCATCACCTGGACTTCAGCAAGACCAAAACTGAGCTCTTTAACTTCCTTTCACCACTCCTCCTGTTCTTTTCCTTCCCCTTATCTTTCCTTCTCTCCTATTTTCACTCTTCAGTAAAACACTGATCCTCTTACTCTTTCTGGTGATGCTTATTTCTTGGCCTTCCAATAGGTTCATGTACCTTAGACATTTCTAGGTCTTTCTGCTTTCTCCTTCACAGCTTTCCTTTCCTGCTCACACAGCCAAAATTCTTATCCAAGACTGCATTCTTTCCTGTCCTGACTGGTGTAACTTTTTTTTTTTTTTTGGCTTTGAATTTTGCAGCCTTTTTCCCCTATGTATACCAGAACTGCATTTCTAGCACTAATACCCCCAGAAGTGTTGATCTCAGCATCTGCAACCCACACTAGCTGACTGAAGTGTCTGCCAGTGCGTTTTTCTGAAAATGCTGGTGAGGGGTAAGCCCCTCACATCTGCTGCAAGCAGTTGTGTCAAACATTCTGTTGCATTTCCACTTTCTTTTCAGAGTTAATTGAACCACTGAAGTGCTCAGAAACCTCAGACAAAATGGACACCCTTTTGGGTATGCTGTAATACAAACACATAGTATGTCCTTGCTCTGAGATTATATATTAATAGATAACTGATGAGAAAGAGCAAATTATTAACCAATAATTACAGATCAGGTGGGACAAAAGGGCAGAGAGATTAAGTAACTTCCCTGTGATGACTTCCCTCTTCCTCAGGAAAAGCAGCAGAGCCAGAAGAATGACTGCAGTGAGGAACAATCTAGTTAGTGTCCTGTCCACAAATTATTGCTTTCTCCCTAACACTAGCTTCTTCCACCATCACCTACAATTTATTAACTGCTGTACAAACTTAGATGGAAACAGTTTCTTGTAATCTTGGAATGGCATCTTATGAAAAACCCTTCCCTAACTTCAGGGCTTGCCATATAGATCATATGGCAATGGATTTCAGTAAAGTAAAATAAAATAAATAAATTATCATGGCTCAGCTCTCAACAAGACTTGCTGTAATTAAACTGAACAAGTACTATTCATCCAAAGAACATGATTTACTGCAAGAGTATTCCTCCGTTATAAGAAAAGGAGCTTTAAGATGAGTGGAGTCTGCCACTGCTAAGGTCCTTAGCAGTAACACTACAGATGTCCAGCTGCCACTAGAAGCCTTATTGCTCATACAAAAGCCTCCAGTGAGGTTCAGATAGGAACAACAGAGTACATGCAGACTTCATAAACTCACTTGAAAGAAAGAAATGGTTTCTGTGCATCTTTCATATTCCAAATGAATAGTAAAGCTTTACAACAATCTCTTATAAAAAGATTTTGTGGATCAAGTTCAGATATTGCAGGGATCCCATAAAGAAATTATACCTAAGTTTACAAAGTTATGGTTTGGATTTTTGTCTTGTCTACTCCAAATGATGATCCCTGTGATGATCAAAACTATTTCCTAATGCTCTGCCTATGTTTATTCATGACCAACATGTACTCTTCTGTTTGTGTCTTTATATTGTTTTCTGGTTAAATGGTATTTCTTTAGATCTAGTGTTTTCTCCAGATGTTTTTATAGAAAGCAAAAATATCCCTTTTTTCCCATGAAAATGTTCAGTAAGGCCAGTCATAAGACTAATCTTTGAGGAATTCCACTGGTACCTCCCTATTATCAAAGGTCTGACGTCCTTTTCTGGCACAGCCACGATCAACTTTCCTTTAGTTGGTTCCTTTATCACAACACAATTTTTGTATTAATCCCTGTCTTATTCAACTGAAGCCAGTTCTTTACTAAGTTCAGATAAATCAGGTATTCTACTTTTTCATTGCCTAGAAAAATCACATATCTTAGAAAGAATTATTCTATGTTAGTATATAGCATGAACAGCTTTTGGTGAACCCCTGCTGCATTTTACAGCATCATTTATTCCTATTTCCATTTGGTAAACAAAGGATGAAAATAAAAAATCTCATCAATTCCTGTCTCACATCTCTGCTTATTGAGATTGAAGTGTCTCTTGTTAAAGATAGTTTTCCACTGTGCTTAGGAAGTAAGTTATCCATATCTGCTATGTATGTGATCAAACACTTCAAGTAAGAAGCTTTGTCCACCATCTCTGTGTGAGATAAAAAAAGGGAAGAGGATATGATATTTTTTTCACTGGCACAATTTTGGAGTAACACCACCAAAGTCAATGAAACTATAAAAGCAAATCAAACCCCAACATTGCTAAGCAGGTAGAAGAACTGTGAACAACTTTAGAGATGAAAGCAAGTGCCACCAGCCTGAGAAGGTGGAAATGCAGAAGTGATCAGAATGACTGGTACAAATGTCAATTTTAGCAACAGTTTGTATGGTCTGAAAGGAACAAGTAGTTGTCAGAGATGGCAGGGAGAAAATGAAGATTTATCGCACTGTACAGATTCTTTTTCAAGGTAAAGTTGCTCATTTATCTGCTGTTTAGTGTGCATTAGCTACTATTGTGTCAAGAACAAGTCTTTCAGAGATCTGCTAGCCTTCTAACAATGCTTGCACTCTTCCGCTGCAGAAAACAGTAAATTGCTAGGGAGGATTCTTTCTGAGGGCCACTGCTCACCTACAGACCCTCCTTCCATTTAGAAAGCATGAAGCTATCGCCAGAACTTCGAGAGTGGCTGCACAGCTGTAAGGAGTTAGCCACAAGGCAGAGCTTCAGCTGCTGGGAGTATCACTGCCATAATGCAAATTCCAAGGGATTGTCAAAATACCAGGTGTTAAATACCCAAATGCTGACACAATACTATACATTTTTCCAGTTCTAGATGATAATCACCTGTCTTCTTGACTATAAAATGTATTTTTGAATATCTGTGTACTCTGTTGCAAGCATTTGTAAAATAACTACAGCCCATGCATAACCATGCAGTCCACTGTACTACTTCGCAGACATCCAGGAAACAGGGTCTGCGTCTCAACAGCTGCCCTATGCCACAGCCACACTGCTAACATCAGGGAGTGCTCCTGCAGGAAAAGAAAATGCAGAACAACCGAGCTTGCTTTGCACTGGATCAAAGGTAAATTAACAGTTGCTTAACAGCAAAGACGGTGTTAGGGCCAAAGATGTAAAACAACTGTTACAAAAAGTAGATTTTTTTTTTAAAAAAGGCAACCCTCCCAATATTGTGCTTGCCTATTCTACCTTAAAAGTTAACATTGTTAGTAAAACCTTCATGCCCAAGGAACTAGTTGAGTGAAAAGGAAGGGTATGCTGAAGGTTTAAAATTCTAAAAGAGCGATGAGAATACTATATAACATGAATAACAGTATGGCAACATGTGGGTTATACAATAGCGACATTAAGAAGTCTTTTGAAAGAACTACAGATTTATGGGTGAGATTTGCTGTGTATTATTACTACAGAAGCCACACCAAAAAATCTGTGCTGCAGAAGTAGAGCATAAGCTGGCTAGGTTGGATTTGTAAGGGGGGCTATGGATAGATGCTGGCACAATTTACCTTCACAATATTCCTCAGTGGCATAGTCCCATGGGAGAACCGATGAACAAATACTGTTTCAATCAACCTTTTGATGTAGTGGAAAGAATGGCAGATACATGCCAAGCTAGAAACAGCAAGACAAAAGCATTTAAGAGTGCTTAAAAAAACAAGTGTGGCAAGACATTTGGAATAAGACTACAATGCTAACAAGAAATACTGCTCAAGCCTGCAAACAGACTTACTTAACTACTGGATGCGGGCTTGATGTAAACCTCTCATCCAGTCCATAGACAAAAGGCATGCGGAAATAAAACAGAAAATAGATGAACAATGGACCTGTGTATTCTATCAAAAATACCTGCAAAAAGAGAGAAAATAATTAGACAGCTGAATTAGATGGTGGTTTTGCTTTGATTTCTTTGTGATAACTAATGCAGTGGGATAAACACCTCCGCTGACTCAAGATGGCATTTAGAGAGGCAGGGAGGGAATATCAGGTTTGGGCTTGGGCTATGAAAGTGGTAGACATGCACGTAACTGTTTTGCAATGCATTTGCCTCAGTTGCATACAAACAGCCATTGCCAGTGCAGCTGACACAGTATGGATATGAAAAGATAATCATGGCAGCCCAGGGATCATGATAAACATGCATGCATGTTACATTTACACAGCTCTCACCCTCCTCTTGCCCTCAAAAACTGTCGCTTTATTCTGGGTTAAAATGAAATTTGGTGAAGAATTTATCTTGAAAAAGAGGAGCTTTGTTTCTAATGAATATATTTTGTTTAAACTGGAAACACAGCTTGTAAGTGTTCACAGGTGACTCCATCTGTATGACCAGTTAGTACAGCAGATGTCCCAGAAAACAATCAATTCATTCTATGTTTATACAATCTTTAATTTGAACACAAAGAAAAAAAAAAAGGGAAAAAAAAAAAGGAAACTAAAGAAGCTATTATCTAACTTGATTTCATTTCATATAGGTCTGTATTTCTTAGGAGCATCATTTCAAAATGAAGTTAACTTTGGACAAACATTAACAGTTGAATTTTCCACACTTCTATAAGTGAGGAAGGAAGGTCCCTACCTCATTTATGGAGAAAGAAGGGGCATTGATTGCACTTCTGTCAAAAAAAAAAAAAAAACCCAAAAACAAAAACCAAAACCAAAAAACCCCCACCCACTGTTTTCTAATGTATTTAGAGCTATTCTGACACTCAGAAAAGTTGTGTTATCAACTTCTGTAGCAATCAGCATTTTCTCTGGCCAAGATTGGATTTGATTGTAGATGACAAGTTTGCCTTTTTTATTTTATAAGACTGAAGTATTTCTTGGCTTATATTTGAATGAAGTAGCTTGAACGGCAGGGAGAGCAGAATATAAAGGAAAGATTATGGAATGGCAGAAGTCTGGTGTTACTCCGCACTGTGATATTTTGGTAAATATTAATGCATTTGTGTCTTGGAGTCTACATCGCCATTAGAAGTTTTGCCTGTCTTAATGTTTTTTTGGATTCTGTAATAGCTGCCTGATTTATCAGCATTGCATCCAAAGTACTGATATGAAGATTCAGTCTTGCAGAACATTTGACTTTTTCTATTTTACCTCCTACAAATGTTGTCTTTGCTATTTGTCATTAACACAAGATTTTATTAACGTCTCATAGCTAAGAAATGGTGAATGTGCCTTTAAATTACTGGGTACTTTTCCCTTCATGCTGTGCTGTTTCATTAGAACTAGTGTAATGTGTGCATCACAGACCTTCTGAAGAACTGGAAGGGTTACTGGTCACCTCACTGCACAAACAGCAGTGCTGTGTTGCCTGATGAGTGAGTTGTGACAGAATTTGCATTTGAGCTGAGAGAGTAAATATGTGAGGTCTTTGTGGATGGCTACTAATATTGCAGAAATGATCAGCTGTTATTAGCCTGCCACAAGCATCCTGGGATGCAGCCACATGCAGAGAGCTAACTGATCTTACTTTCATGCATTTTCCTGCAGAAGTCACTTCAGTTACTGACATGTGAAGTTGCTCACATGCCTTTTTCCAGGACAAACTTGTGGGACTATAATCCTGATCTTTGTCAGGAGAGTTACACAGGCCCTGCGAAGCAGATCCCCAAAGGCATTTAAACACCTAGTTCCTAGTGATTTTGCAGCAGACATCTAAATCCATTTGAGAACCTGCACCTTAGTTCAGTAGAGCCAGCCTACCCTGCAGCAAGTTTTTCACTGCTGCTCTCCCAGGGAACTAGGCATTCAGAATATCCTGTTGCTGCTTTCCCTGATTAAATGAACTGAAGCAATGAGGGTTCATTGCCTACATCCACTATCAGAGCAGGCATCATGCAGAAATATTGGAGAGAGACAAAAAGTGATGTAAGGATTAATTATGGAAAAATAGCCATTATAATGGCTCAGACTTGAAGCATAGCTCACCGTAGTCCATCCTATCTGTGGCCCTAAATCTTTAAAGTATAAGGTAGCAGTTGTGCCAACAGGGAGGTGCTGCAGGATTTCCTCATCCCTCAGGGACTTTCCTTCTGAGAAGGAAAGAAGTAATTACATCTCAGTGAAATTCAAGTCAACTTTGATAGCATACTAGCTTTATATCATGCTTTAACTGATCTGTGAGATTCTTTGATGTGATGTAGGTTTACTGGAATCTCAATAAACAAATCAAGAATGTTTATACTTAATTTTGATTTATCTCTGTAATCGCATATAAGCCTGGATCCTCTAATCACACCAAGACAGTTAGGAGAATTCTCAATCCTATGTGCCTGCCTAATCTAGTAGACTTGCTTCATCACTGCTACAGCAGAATTTGCTGATGGGTCACTGCCCTTTAACATAGTTCACTGACCTCCTAGTCAGCTGCACCTCCCTCTCTCTTCTCTCTCTTCCTCTCTTCTCATTGCTTATCGTCAGGCAAACAGAAGCTAGGATAAGCTGAGATTGGAAGGCTCTCCCACAGAGGATTTCATTGCCTCCTTTTTTTCCCAACCAACCAGCTAGGAGGTGATTCCACAGGACTTGAGCTAGTACTCAAGCTTTTAATGCCTAGATTTGGGGGAATCTCCAGAAGGCCAGCATTTTCTCATGGCAAGTCTCACAACATAAGTCCATGGAGGAGTCTGACAAGGTAGATCTTTGAAGAAGGAAATAAGGTACTCATATGCCTGTTTTCCATGGATAGATCCTACACAATGAACTAATCTTCACCAGCATACTTTTAAGGGACTGTTTAAATAAAATTATGTGTGATGGAAGCAAAAGAAGAAAGTCCTACATTTTATACTGAATGCTAAGATGAATTAACACAGTTTGGCTATGAGACTTTCTTTTGCGCACCCAGGCCATGTACTAAGGCTTCTAGTAGCAATACCTACAACTGCATTAATGAAGTTAGCCAGCTCACATCAGCTTTGTCAGCAAATCCTACATACATGGCAATGTGTTTTGCATTAGCTTACCTCAAAAGAACTGTAATTCCTGCCTGAGAGCAGAGGATTATGTGAATTGATACTCTAACTAATAGCCTTTTTTAGTACTCCCAGCTGAGCATCACTGTGGAGATCATTTCACTGCAGCTAAGGGAAATTAGTATCTAGATTCTGTGCTGCCTGTCTGAAAGCAAAAGTGCTCAGTAGTTAGAAAGTGCTCTGGAACAATGTGCAGACTCCTGAGTTAATAACCAAGCACCAGGCACATGGGTGGAACTCTGTTCAATACTTTCAAAGAATTAAATTTGTTCTCTTCAGCTTTCATAGTGCTAATTCACATAGCTGGAAACACATTCTTAAGAGCTAATACCCATGCAAAGTACACCTTTTATGCCAGACCCCTGCTCAGAGCTTTGTTACTCTAGTTCTCACAAGTACTTACTTGGATCAAGTTTTATCGACTGTCTTGCTGGATACCACCGAGGATCTGTAAGACCATACAGAATTGTGTGATAGACAATGCTTGTTTTAGATCATCCACTATTAGAATGAATGCAACACAGCAAGATAAGATTTAGTTAAAGATTTTTAGGAATATTTATTCAACATGAATATCTGTGAGATATTATGCAGCAGAAAAAAATACAAAGGTTTATCAGGATAGTATGAAAAAATGATACTGAAATCTCACTGTGATCACATTCATATGCAGGTTACTTAGCATTATGTGTGTGTACATCACATGTTTCAAACTATGTAATTTTCTCCTATTTATATACTGGATATTCTGATGTGATGTGAACTGCTGCAAAAATTATACTCACATAATTTATGGAACATCAATCTGATCTCCCTAATTGTGGCATTTGGTTCCACCTAGGCAACAAAAAATATTGTATATGTAAGATGCATATTTTGAAAGACAACTGCTAGGTGTAAGACTATACAAGTAGAAATGTGACTCAAACAATATAACTGTAACTTTCTTACAGATGGCTAGGATTGGTATGGATGATTCAAAGCACTTCTTACAGGAAAAAGGAAGGACAATTTGTGGCATTTTTTTCAGAGGCAGCTTCTCTAGCAGTGATCGAGAGTTACTACAACAGCATTGACAGTCTGATGGCTTATGAGTGAGTAAGGCACTACTGGCACCATCTTAGTGAAGCAGCTGAAGTTGTGCTCTTTGCCCAAAAGCTCCTTCTGCAAAAGGGTTGAAGTACTCCATAGTCAGTATGAAGTGTGCATAATCATTGCCTCTTCAGTGGCCGAAGAAAGGCTAGCTGATTAAATACCCTTCATAAACACTAAATTAACTTAAGAAAAGTAAGTAATTTTTAAATAGTCACCTAGCATTTTAAACAGATATTTGGTTTACCTTATCTAGGTAGCATAGCTGTTTCTTTGTCTTCCAATCAAGGATTTCCACCTGATAGGACAAAAATGATAATTACTAATTATTGGCTAAATAATCTCTAAACTCTTAGTTGATTCCCAGATTCACAACCATTGTTAAGAGTGAGACACTATTCTTCTCTGATCTGTGGACTGTGTTAAAAACACTTCTGCTGTGCTCAAGAGACAGCTTTAATCATAGCCAGGTTCTCAAAGCACTCAACTTGCAAAAAAAAAAAAAATTAATGACAAATAAATTGTCTTCCTGGATATATTCAGAAGCAGAATTAGCTAACTTATTGATCAAACCACATTGATCTGGATCTGGGTTATTTTCTTACACTAGAGCAAAAGGAACAAAGAAGGGATAGAGAAGCTTCACAGGAATTGCTAAGGAACAGAATTTTAATGATTTGTAAAACTAGAAAGGCAGTTTGAGAAAAAAAATTTAAATGTGCATACATACGCATGTAAGCAAATATTCTGACTATATACAGCTTGAAGTGCATTGTTCCCAGAATAATTGAATTGTAAAGGAAGTGGAAAACATTGGTGGACATAATGAACAGATGCAGCTAAAGATTTGGACTTCACAAATCCTTAAAGGGTTGTTACAGGAATACTCAGTATTACTCTTGCCTCTCAGACCACCTGTATTAGTAACTACATATTAGCATTTTCTATTCCAAGCAGTGGTTTAGCTACAGCTCTGAGAACAAAAGAGCAGTTTATTTCTGTGATCAAATGGCACTTTGGCAAAAGGTTGATTAAAATTATTTTAATCAATAGCCAAGCAGAAAAGTCCTCAGAGTTTTCAAAGTCCAGTTGCAGCAGGCTAGCAAAACCTAAACTACAGTGATGGTGTTTTAATTTCATTTGTTCTCATCAAACACTTTGTAATGGAACTTTGTGGTATAGCTAAGAGGAAAAGCTGAAAGCTTATCTGTCACACTAAATGACTGGGACTATCATTACTTAGTACCAGAAGAGTTTGTTGGGTTTTTTTTAAATAAACATCTAGCATTAATTAAGTTCGGTATTAACTGGCCAAGAGGGTAGATTAACAATAGACATTAAATATGATTCCTTACTAAAAATAGGAGTCACAGTCCTGTATCTTTCTAATAGGGTTGCTTTGAAGAGATCACTTGGTTAAAGTATCTTATTTCCTTCTTTTACTTGTCCCAAATTGTTCTTTCTCTATTGGTGCAGCAATGGAGCACTTCAGCTCCAGCTAGAAGTATCAAATCTGATCTCCACAAGGAATACTAACGCAGTGACATTTTCTACATGTGTATTATAAGCTCTAAGTGGGACTTCAAGGGAGGTAAGCACTTTTCCTCCTTCGTGATACATAACAAATGTGTGACAGATTATTGGGATATTGTGTTTCCCCTTCATTTTTTATATTTGAAATAACACAAATTTCCAGTTTTAATGTCTTTGTGGGGCATCTCCATCAGAAAGCAAATGAAGTGGATTCCCTTCCCAGAGGGCTATTCTTGAAATACAGCATTCTGACTCTTGCAGTTTACAGAGAAAGTACTGTGGGGGCTGTAAACCATTTTTTGTCCCTTCTGATGCCAAGTTGCTACAAGGGTTATTGAAACCTTTGGTGTACCTCAAAGCTCTTGTGTCAATGAATACCATTGGGCTTCCCTACGGACTGCAGCAGGGCCCACAGCTTTAGCTGTCTCCTTCCTGTTCCGTACCCACTCCCAGCATACACATATTGGATCAGAATCCCCCAGGAGCAGTTTTTGTCTATGGCCTTCCGTTGGCTGTATTAGAGAAATCTTCTCCAGGCCAATTAGAAAGTGGTTTGGATATCTTTCTGCCACCTACACTCTTTTAACTGGGCTATTCTCATTATGTACAAGGCCAGACTGAAAATTATAGAGCATTTTCTTTTGCTCTGTGGTTTTCATGGGAGTGGCTGTACAGAAATTTAGGTACTTCTGTGAAACTTTGGAATCAGTGTGGAAAACAAACAAATCATCCAAGATCTTCTGTACTGTTATTTGGGTCCATTCCAGCATGTCTCTTTAAAGTGCCAAACTGACATACCTGCCTGTACTGGCCCATTTCTTCAAATACCTAGAGGGACCCTACAGACATGTCGGATCCAGACTCTTCCTGAAGGTGCACAGTGAGAGGCAATGGACATCAGTCGCAATATGGGAAAATCCAATCAGATACAAGGAAATTTTTTCACCATGAGCTTGGCCAAACATTGGAACAAGTTGCCTAGAGGGGATGTAGAATATCCATCCTTAGAGGTATTTAAAACTGGACTGGACAAGACCCAATGCCATTTGATCTGGTTGTATCTGCTTTGAGCAGGAGTTGGACTACATGGCTTCCAGAAGTCCCTTGCAACCTAAATTATTGAATGTTTCTATTTTTCTGGGGGGGACACTCATTCCTGAACTTCAAATATTTCAGTTAATTTCATTTACTTTCAAGATCTAAGCAAATATCAAACATTCTTTCCCTTTTCAGAAAGACAGATGCAGGAACACAGTGTTAGATTCCACTGCAGCCCATAGAAAGTTGTGCAATGACAGAGTGAAAACAAGGTGACTGTTTCCTCTAATTATAACGCCTCTTAGCTGTATCAGAACACCCCCCCAGTGTTTAGATGTTCCCTGCATAAGGGACAGAAAAGCCTGATCCAAGGCAAGAAATGTTATCTTTACTGAACATAATGGCCAATCACATGAACCCACGTAGCACTGAACACAGTGTTTCCAGTCTTCAGGCACAGCACCAAGTCAGTTAATGTATTGGTTGGCAACAGTTTTTAGATACCCAGCAATCTGTTCTTGGAACATTTACTGATGGGTATTATCCCTTTCAAACATAAATTGTTTGGCTCAGAGAACTTTAATTTCTATGTGTTTTCAAAGCATTTAGCACAATAGGACACTGACTGTTGGCCTGCAGTAGTGCAGTATGACTTACAGTCCACTTATTTGGTGACTTTTTAAAGGCATTTTAGCTTCTCTAAAACTACTCTGAGTAGAACTTAATCAGTAGGCAGATTTGTGCAAGATAGCTTTGTCTTTTATAAGTGACTACAAATATATATCTTCAATGTTTAGAAGACATTTGTTGTAGTGCATAAGGATTAAAGATTGATAGTGTCTTTAAAAACAGAAAAATTCTTGATTATTTTTTTTAAAAGAGGTCAAGGGCAAAGAATAATCAATATACAATACAAGCAGAGAAAAGTACATTCAACTGTTAAACTTTTATTCAGAAAATAGAAGGGGAAAATAAAAGGGGGAAAAGTTTATTCATAGGGGAAAAACAGTTGAGCAAACAGCGTTTAAAGAAGAATTTTTAAGATGCAGTGTCCCTGCAATAGGATTAGAAAAATAATAGTCAATCAAATTTCCGCAGCTTAAAGCCATATCAAATGCTTAAGGATCAACAGATCTTGCACCTTGGAAGTTTTATTTGCAGCCATTTGTACTCAGCAGATTCAGTAAACTAGCTGAGTGAGATTTTGTGAACACTGACATAAGCATATATTGTATTGACTTCTTTTGGAATTACTCGGCAAAAAAAACCCGCTTATTTTACAATCTAGGAACGAACCAGCCCAAGAAAGAGTAATGCAGAATGCATTCTCCCTGAACTATTAGAGTGCTTATATAAGTCATGTTCCTCAAATTTAACACTAAAAAAATCCATTTTGGTTGCCACGGTCCTAATTAAATCTTTCTAAACTTTTTGTTTTTCCTATGGAATTAGTCATTTTCTCTATCTCCTTAGACTTTTCTGGTAGAATGTGTTGTTCCTGAAGGAAGTAAGCATGCCTTAGTGTGATCTCACACTACAGCATATCAAGAAGAACTTTCCTGAAGTCAAGAGAGTTAAGCCAAAGGGAAATTACTGTAAGTGTACTTACACTGAAAACTGTGTTTGTGCTGCCGCTACAACTGACTCAGTATGAGACTTCCCTTGCACAGGAATGTACAAACTGTTGCAGAGGATGAGTCTAAGGATCCATCTAGAATGGTATCTTTCTGATATAGCCAGCAGCAGGTGACTCAGAAAAAGTAAAAAAACAGGGCAAGAATGTAGTGACTGGGGGCAGGGGAGGAGACAGACACAGAAATTGCAATTTTCCTGCACCACAAGTGCTGTCTTTGTATTTAATAGCTTTTCATGGATTTTTCCTCAATTAGTTTATTCACTCGCCTTTTAAACCTGTGTAAACTTTTTGCATGCACAGTGTCCTGAGGCAGAGAGTTCCAAAGCTTAGCCACATGCTGTGTGAGGAATTCCAAAAGCAGAAACAAGGCAAATGTTTAACCAGAAAGCAAAATTTCATCGTCTTACCTGTGGAGTGCTGTACCTTATTCTGCAAGTAGTCCAACTAAGTAAAGCCTTACCTCTCTGAAGCAATTGGCTCATATTTCACGAGACTAGAATCTTATTACATTTTTTCACTGTGTATAAAGAGAAGAGATACAGTGACACCCATATTTGAAAGGTTTTATACAAATAATTTTCACTTTTGTAGAATTTAGATGTCTAACATTTATAGGTTCATAAGATATACACTAGGTACTTACTCCTCAGCTTCCTAAGTTCTGCTCCTATACAAGCCAATGAGAACCACTGTCTGAACTGTGCTGAAACGCATAGTACATTTTTATTTCTTCCACCTGTTTCAGACTTGTTAGTTAGGTGTGCATCTAAATCCTCAAGGACCTTGATCCAGTAAGCATCTTTATCCCAAGGTCAGCACAATGCACAGCATTTAGATTATTCCTGAATGAAACCAAACTGTCAGCAAAGGAGATGATCTAGTTCTTCACGCTTTGTAAGTAATGGTTAGACACACTGACAGGAAGTGGGAAAATTACTTTAGACTGTCTTCTGCCATTCCCCACTCCTCCCACAGAAGGCTTGGCTGGCTTGGGCCACCAAGCAAGGAATAAAGGATTCAAGAGAGAACAAAAAGTACAGGCAGGAGAGGACAGGAATATGTTCTAGTGAAAAGGGCTGTCTCCTACCAAA